CAGAGACCGGGACCGGGAACCCCTCGTCAGCGCAGAAATGCCGCCACCTCCGCCCCCGGCCCCGCCGCTGCCGCCGATGGACCTCCCGTCCCCGATGCCGATGCAGCAGCCGTCGCCCCCGCGAGAGCGAGAGCGCGACGACGCGTCCTCGATCCGGTCCCACGCGTCTCGAGAGAGAAGGCATTCCCGGAAAGAAGCGCCCCCGCCGAGAGGTGAAGACCTCCCGCGGAAAATGTCGGATCACCACGTCGACGGCGCCGCTCGGCCGTATAGACAGCGCATCGACCTCCCGCGATCCCGGAGCCATCGGGCCTCTGAACACGAGGTCTCTGCTTCAATGTACGACGTCGCTACGGCCAGAGCGGACTGAGAAAAAATCATGAGTTGTGACATTGGGATCTGATGGGTGATGAGATGACGCGCATTTCTAGGATGATGATGATATGGTTACCATCGATCGATCGGCTCTTGAAACGGGTGCTATGAGTGGCACGACGGCGGCTCTGAATGTCTTTTTTTTTTCCTTCTCTTTTTTTATGACACATATCATGATTGCATGCATCAAATGCCTCTTTTGCTTTTTCCCTGCTGCGACTACAACATCAACATCAACAAATAACGAGAATCCGCCAGCATTCACGGAGTACAATTAGACTTGTTTGGTATTTCCTTTTTTTTGCGTGTTTTTCTTCACAATCATCATGATCTTCAGAAGACACATTACAAAAAAACTGTACAAATGATAATCAGACTGCGAGTTTTGTCTCCTCTCCTCTGCACTCAAGATCTCACGATATATCCAGGCAGCTTACCGATTTCACTGTGACTGTTGAACTATTGCATCTAGAATGCATCTAGAAGAAGATGGAAGGATGCAAGATCCGCTTGGGTAGCAATTTGGGCAGCAATTCAATACCAATTTCCTATCTGGGGGCCCCGCGGGCGCTAAATGCGGCAGTCTGCATCGTCATGCAGGATGATTCACGATCCTCTCTCACCAACTAGTCGGACCAAAGGTCTCGTTTTCCCCCACCGTCTTCAGAATGGCGCCATACGTGGAGTCCTATATGCAAGACACGATTAGTTGAAATGAGCCTCGACGTCAGATAGCGTTGCCAGCAAGCGCATTCACTTGCGGGCACCCGCGTTTCGCGGGGAGAGTGAGGGAGGAGGGGCAGGGTCCCCATTCTCAATTTCACGATGCATATGCAACTTACCAATGTATTATATACGTCGACGTTTCCCCACCATTGTGGGATCGTGACGTTGGGTAACGTGATGGCGAAGAAGATGACAATGGTACTGATGATGAGACCAGCGTCGAGCGCAGCGGCGGTGATATAGTTGTACGTCTTCCACCACCCGTGAAACCTCTTGCGCACGCCGTGGTTGAAAATGAGTCCGACAATGGCCCAGCTGGAGAAGCTGAGGGGCGTCGCAGGCGGGAGCCAGCCCATGGCACCGAGCATGACGGGCGCGTGGAGGACCTTTGCGAACTTGAGGTTGAGAACCTTGGCCAGCACGTAGAAGACGATGGGCAGGCAGGCGCCGATGAGCCAGAAGTAGTTGAAGTTGTGGTAGATGGAGCCGGCGCCGAACATGCGGCGGGGACCGATGACACCCCAGACGATGGAGGATGAGAAGAAGGCTCGGCCGTTGGGGCAGGTGAAGTGTGCGTGTTGTGTGCTAAGGTCAAAATGTCAGGTATCAATCCTCCGTAGGGTAAGTAATAATGAGGCTCCCTTTGGATGGACTCACAGTGCACAACAGTTTTCAATATTGCCAAGCGTCCAGTTCATCACGGCAATCTGCACAAAGACGGCCCAGATGGTAGCCACAACCTGACACCAAAATGTCACGCGAGGCGGGATCTTCATGTAATGCGCCATCTTGAGATCGCCAGAGTACGTCTGCGCCTGGCCGAGAGTAATCGTGCTGTACACCTTGAAGATCATGACACCTATCGGCTTCCCGGGGATCATGAAGCCCGCCAAGAACGGGGACAGCACGTTGAGCGCGAGCCCGAGGTTCGAGATGGCGAGGATCGTGCACGTGGGAATCACAAAGATCATGGCCAGAAAGTTGGCGACGAAGAAGGCCCACCACGGCAGCTGGGAATCGTAGCCCTCCGCCGTCGCGAGACCAAGACCGATGGCGAAGAGCAGGAGGACGGCGTACCACCACTCGGGCGCGTCGACATACTTCTTTGCGAGCTTGAGGTGGATGTCGGCTTCCTGGTTACGCGCAGCCTTGAGGCGATACCAGATCTCTTTGCCATGGAAGAAGCCGCAGTGAACTATAGCGGCGGTAAGGGCGGCGAAGGAGAGGCCGTAGTTGAGGGCAAAGGTAGGCGGAAGGAAGAGAGGCGAGTACTGCTTGTACTTCTCTTCTGAAAAGGTGTACCCGGGTCCGAGAATCTTGCTGACATTGTAAGAGCTCTGGGTGTTGTCATAGGTCTGCGAGGTGTTGATGGGGAGGTAGTCTGCAAAGAGGGCGCCCGAGTAGGCGATGCCGATAGTAGGGATGATGACGAACGTGAAGAGGCCGATCAAAACATTGACGTGGGTATGTGTCGGCGAGAGGAGGGGGTCGCCCAGGTAGGCGGATACATAGGTCCAGTCAAACGTGATGGGAATCAGAGAGAGGCCGGTGAAGCCTCCAAAGAGCTGGTTGACGACGATATTGTTCGGCTTGATCCAGGTGACAAAGGCAAACACCGATAAGCCTTGCCAGAGAACACCCGGAATCCAGTAGTAGCAGAACATGGCCGCGAGGACGTAGAAGAAGTACCGGTACCGACTGATGATCCAGCCGTTGCTGTGCGTGCCGTCGCTCTTGCTCTTGTCGTGGAGGGCGTAGAAGAGGGACGTGTTGGCGAACTGGTTGGGCCAGATCATGGCCGCCGGCCAGACGAGGAAACGGCGGCAAAGGCCCGCGAGGCCGATGCCGATGAGCTGAGAGCTCAGCGTGAAGAGCAGCTGGAAGCCCCATCCAAGGTTGATGTCGTAAAAGGGCTTGCCTTGGAGCGCGAGGAGAGCGTCGGTGCTGTAGGCGTAGCCAATGGAGACGTTCGACATGAGAGTAATGACAACGTGCTCCTTGATTGTAAAGGGGCCGGTGTTAAAGGTCCATTGAACGCCAAATGTGTTGAAAACCTTCATTGGCATGGCCTTGGCCCAGAGACATCCAATTGGGTAGACCAGCAATTGGACGATGATGGATGGGAAGTTGATAGCGGGACTCCTGTGAAGATGGAGTAAGAGTGTCAGCCATTGATGTTCAGGTATCCTAAAGTTATCATCATCTCAGTTCCACTTACCTCATGCTCAAAAACATATTGAGTCCGCTCCCAATTGTCACGAAAATCATACCCAGGATCCACGCTCGGACCGTGTTTGCGACTTCACCACCATCCGTGTTGCGTACAGCAGCACGTACTTCCTCATAGGGCGAATCCTCTGCCAAGATGGCATCGGCGGCAATGATCTCCTCAGAGTCGCCGTCCTCGAGCGCTTTCTTCACCATGTCGGCCTTGTCCTGGGGCAGATTAGGGTCCCATTGATGATCACGCTGGAAGTTTTCGAGATCGGTCGCCGCCTGCGTGACGTCCACGCTATGGTTCTTTTCGTCCGCCATGGCGGCTACTAGGTGTGCCTATATTATCGGGCGTGGTGTTGATGTTGGTGGCTACTGCAAGGCTCTATGCAGCAAAGATTCACTAGCTAGATCGTCATAGCCCAATGGCTGATCGATTTGGGGTTTCACGGACGTCGGTGGCAGCTTGGGAGGGACCAACATTAAGATCAATGCTTCGCGATGCATGTACGTACGCGCGTCTCACATATAAGTTGAACAATTTGCGGATTGATTGAACTCAATCAAGGTCCCAAGAGGGAAGTTGCCTACGTTGCCGGGAGCCCGAACGACGTGATAACGGTCACCAGGACCATCCCACCGTAACGTACCACGAGGTATCGTTATCATGGGTAAATGGTCTCCTTTCTCCACCTTCAAAGTGCGAAATGGTGGTGTTCCCAGGCAGTTCGTGTTATCTCGCCCGAGGCCGGGGGCGGGGTGGCGCCGTTTATTTCCCCGGAAGGAGGGGGGAAACGACAAGGAACATGGAGGATTACGTGCGGTTAGGATTCTTTTAGAGGAACTTATTTCTGCGAACCCCTGCCCGCTTATCGTCTTGACAAGTCTTGTCCCGACGCGGCAATGCTTGGTCCAATTGGCGTTAAACTCAAAACAAAAAGTTCCCAACCGTCGGGGGGGATCCCCTTGACAGCATTGAACCGTCGGCACGTTGCAACCGCGTGACGGCCGAACGACTAATAACGAATCCTCGTTCTTACCCCGCCGGTAGATAAGGTAGCAATCCTTCCCCCAACACGAAGGAGTTAGATACGGATAACCTTTGCCCATGAAAGATACGGATATTGTGATAAGACGGAAGTGGTCCCGCGGGGGGTCTTCCGACAAACAAGGATCTCGGACTGAAAGCCCGGGTAACCCGGGTCTGGCCGGGAATGTCACTTCAAGCGTTTGTTTAGAGAATCCCAATTGATTGCAGCGAAATCGTCCGAACCCAGCGCGATGGTGTCAATTGGCCTGAATCGCACATTGATTTTCCTTGAATCATTACCGCTATCCCGGGTGCTGGATCTACAACACCCCAGATGACCTCGAGTGTCCAGCTGTTCCGCCTGCTCGGTACTATCAGCGTGTAAACGGCTAATCATGGAGCCCTTGCCTCGAGGTAACCCTCAGTAACTTGCATGAGGTACCTTGGCTGGCGATACTGCTCCATACAGCCTGCCTGAGATCAATCCATTATCAACAGTCTAGCACATTGACCTCCAGAGATCATGGTGCAATGCCAATGATAGCTCAGTGAGAACGAAGCTCGCCTTTTGCTCCTCTTATGAGTTCAGGCTTTGAACACAATCTCAGGCTTTGAAACTTCGTCTTGAAGCTCTTGAATCAAACATAGAAGCAGTCTACTTCTTAGTATGGGTCTCTCGCTGTCGTTGAACATCCAAAATCTTCCTCAACGCTACATCTCGCTCTCGAAATTGCTCCGGATTGGGCAGACCGTAGGCATCCACAGTCTGCTGCACAACTTTCGCATCCCACGTCGGCCCGTCACTCTTCTCTATGCCCTCTGACTCATTCGTTGCCTTCTTCTGGAAATTCACAGGTTCCGAACTATCCCATACCCCTTGAACAGTCCCAGAAAGGTTATTCAAGAAGGCCTGGATTCCAGCTACCCCGCCACCCATATTGTACGACTTGAAGATGCCTTGCACCGCCCATCTGGGCCCAAGGCTCGCTTCCATAATGGTGTCAACATCTTCCGTGCTAACGACGCCCTGATCAACCAGTGAACAAGCTTCTCTGAGCAGCGAGAACGCCAATCGGTTCCCTACGAAACCAGGAACCTCTTTCTTGATAACCACAGGTCGGTGGCCAGAACCCAATTCCGCAAATAACTTTTTGGCAAACCTGACTTCGTCCGGGTTTGTAGTCGGTGACGGGACAATTTCGATCAAAGGCATGATGTGCGGCGGATTGAAAGGGTGAACCACTAAAAGACGAGTCGTATCCACCATATCGCGGCTCTGAACCGACGCGGCGATACCAGACGTCGAGCTCCAGAAGTGTGCCTCAGCAGGCGCAAAGCTTTAAATTTTTGGCCATACTGATCGTTTGAAATCTGGATTCTCCGGACCTTGCTCCTGGACGATGGTGGCGCCGTCGCATGCCTCTTCGAGCGTGGTGCAGATCACGAGGCGGCCGGACTCGCGCAGGCGGGATATGCCCAGCGAGGCATCATCCGAGTCGATGTAACCCGGCAGGACTGTGGAAAGGTGATGTTCGAGGTCTGGCCTCGTATCAAAGACCCTGACGGTGCTCTTTGTATGTCTCAGGTAAAGGGCCGCAAAGGAGATGCCGATGGCTCCTAGTCCGACGAGGGCGACGCGCTCGTTCACGTCAGATGGCATGGTGACGATGAATTGATACCAGGAAGTTCAACTGAGTGCCGCTTATGTAATGGACTGACTTGCCGACTGGAGAAGGTTAAGGATTGCCGCGAGGGAAAGCCGTCAGAAGAGAAGCTCGTCAAGTTGGGGGAGACTTGCCCCGCATAACGGAAGTCTCCCTCCCGGGCGTTTCGGAATTCCGAGTTTTTGTCCGTGACTATCCAAACGCGATTCCCTAATGCATAAGACAGGGTGCAATGCAGCTACCGAGGTCTACTTTGCTTGGTATTGGGAGCACGGTCAAACGCTCATAATTTAAAGTAGTGACTGCTTCTAAGAGCAATAGTAGACGTCGATGGCACTTTAGAAGAATCAATGATAGGCAGAAGTGTTCACTCTACTCAAGCGATGGTCATCTGCGAAAAAGTATGACATGTTTATTGTCGGGAGAGTTGCACGACACATGTGAAAAAAGGGATATTGTAGAATTGACGGAATTCCGAGAAACTCCGTGAGCTAACGACCCTGATGTCGATGTTGACGCTCTGTATATTAAGCATGAGCAAACTCTTTGAAGATGTAAAACCATCTTTGCCCCCTTCACTCCGACTCCAGGTCAAGTCATAATAGTACTACAGGATCTCTTTACCTCAATAAGTCCATATTCCAGACCTACCATTGCTTGTATATCACCATCGTCCACAATGGTCCAATACCTCAAATCCAAAGCTGCTACAAATGGCACCAACTCCACATCTCCGCTCGATGTCCCAAGGATTGTAAGGGGCGTGATTGACGACATTCGGGAAACTGGCGACAAAGCTGTTCAGACTTATTCAGAAAAGTTCGACAAGTGGTCGCCGGCGTCCTTCAAGCTCTCTCAATCAGACATTGACTCGATCGTTGCCAAAGTTCCGGCCCAAGTTATTGCCGACATCAAGACGGTACAGAACAGCGTTCGGACATTTGCTCTGGCCCAACGAGATTCTCTGAGGGAATTTGAGCTCGAAATTCGCCCAGGTGTTTTTCTTGGACAGAAGAATATCCCTATCGATCGTGTCGGCGCGTAAGTCTTTCAACATGATGTGTAACAAAACGGCTGATTGCTAAAAGTCAAATAGTTACATCCCTGGAGGACGGTATCCATTACTCGCGTCCGCGCACATGACAATTCTTACGGCTAAAGCAGCCGGGGTCCCCAAAGTTATCGCCTGTACACCTCCAATCAACGGGCAGATACCCCCTTCAACCGTGGCGGCTGCATATCATGCGGGAGCTGACGAGATCTGGATCCTTGGCGGCGTCCAGGCCGTGGCGGCAATGGCCATTGGTACCGAAACTATGGACAAGGTCGACTTCATCGCGGGTCCCGGTAACGCCTTTGTAGCAGAAGCTAAAAGGCAGCTCTTTGGTGAGATTGGGATTGATCTTCCCGCCGGACCGACTGAGATCCTCATTGTCGCCGACGACAAGGCGGATCCGACAACCGTTGCTACTGATCTTCTTTCTCAAGCGGAGCATGGGCCGGATACTCCGGCAGTCCTAATCACCAATTCGAGGACCGTGGCCCAAAAGTCCATTGAGGAGGTTGATCGCCTGCTGAAGATTCTGCCAACTGCACCGCTGGCCTCGGTCTCTTGGAATACCTACGGCGAAGTGATTGTAGTCGATTCTCTAGACGAGGCCTACGCCTTGGCAGATGATTATGCAAGCGAACATGTTCAAATCCTGACGGAGAAACCGAGAGAGGCCCTGGAGAAGATGAGAAACTACGGCGCTCTGTTCCTTGGGGCCAAGACTTGCGTTTCCTATGGCGACAAGGTACGCCGTTATCCTGACATCCTCGGCGTCTCTGTTTTATGCTGACATTTCACCAGTGCATTGGTACAAACCATGTCCTACCAACGAAGAAGGCAGGTAGATTTACTGGGGGGCTCTGGGTGGGAAAATTCCTGAAGACTGTTACTTATCAGGAAGTTGTTTCCGAGTCGGAGAGCGGAGAGCTGGGTCGACTGTGTGGTCGTGCTGCACGCGCTGAGAACTTTGAGGGTCATGCTCGCTCTGGGGACCTCAGAGCCAAGCAATTTTTGGGTGACGAGTTCGAATGGATAAGCAAATAGGCACACCATGGAGTCACGTGTATTCATCCGAGAATTCGATGCGTTATCTCAACCTCATTCAGTCTGTGACGCAAGAGATAGGTGACGAATAGTTAGTACATGTACTATTCTATCAGATTGAACTTGCGGCGTAGTTCTTAGTTTTGACTCAAAAGTCGTATCTTTGAAAAGCGTCGAATTTACATGGACTTTACCCAGGTACTAGTAGCTTAAAGAATCAAGGCGGTTTTTGATTTCACATAGCCTGCCTGCCATAGACAGTGTGCTTGGGTTGTGCAGATATTCTAGGCTTTTTGATCGGCTAGCCGGCTATTGTTTAGAGTAAACTGAACCCCATGTGCTCAAAGTTGAACGATGGTAAGAATGAATCCCATGCTAGGTCAGATCCCTCCAAGATGTCCAAACCCAAGTTCTCCAAGCTGTCCATGTCGACAGTATTCTCTGGAAAGTTATAGTTGTCATCCATGAATCCTTGCAGACTTGTGGGAAATGCTTCAGCAACTCGTCTTGCCGAATCCCATGCATCGTTTGATGGCATGGCTCTACTCAAAGCTCTAGCTTTCCGAGTAGAGAGAGTCGGGCTGGCAGTCGTTTCGCGCTCACGTCCGTCCGCAAAGGTCTCTGATTGCCTCTCAGCAAGCTTTCGGCAATTTTCGACAAACTTGGCCAATCCAGCCCCCATCCAACTGACAAGGTGGTACCGCGTGCATTGTATGGACTGGCAGGTCTCTGCAGCTTTCGACACATGGTCAAAGGCTTCATCCTGGTCCATATCCAGATGGCGATGATACTTTGTTGCGACTTTGAGAAGGAAGGTGCACGCATATGCTATCATCGTGTGATTGTAGTGCGGCAATCCCACCAACCCAGCTTTCAGGTCTGGATCGGTGGTGATAAGCTCGATCGTTGATCTAGCGGACTCGACCGCTCCGTGAGCCAAGTCGAGAAATTCCATCGGAATCGGGTCATCGACCGGGTTGGACGAAAGTCCCCGGAATACAAGGGACCCGATGAACAATTTTGCGAAGTGGTAGTGCAGACGAAGATTCTTCCGAGGGAAGGCTCCTATCTGCCTCTCGATATCCCGTTGGGCTATAAAGCACATGATACAGTCAACGACTACCGGTCACAACATTTTCGCAAGTCACCCTAAACTTACTTCTGTATCGAGCACCCCACAAACCGTGCCATCGATCCACCTCTAAATCGAATTCCTCAAGCTTCTTCTTGAATATTCCCGATATGCGACTGTCACCATACGAGCCGAACATATAGGTGACTTTCTCCAATATTGAAAGCAGTTCCAGCTGACTGGAAAGACGAGTGTCGGTGCTTGAGCTGGGAACGGCACGAAGGTACTTTCTCCATCCTTGCACAGACGACGGGTTGCCAAAACTGGAAGGCCTGCCATACAGAATTGAGAGATGATGGTCGCAAATGTAGAACAGATACCACACTCTCAAGCAGCTGAGTACATCTTCTTGGTCCTTGAGCCCAAGACTGTTGGAAAACCTGTCGTCGAGTTGGCTGGCCCCGATGGCGATTTCATATGACTTGTCGAGTTGGAACTCGATAGCTCGACGAATGGCAAGACCAGACACTGACCATGAAAGATCACTGAGCCAAAACGAAGCTATGCACAGTCCCTGAAAATCGTAGAGGTTCACATGCTTCTTGAACATGAAGTCAGACACGAGCTTGCGGAGCCGAGCACTGCAGACGCGGTATAGTTGCTCGCCCCCGTGTTCATGCAGAGCCGAGACCGTGCAGATTGCCACGAATAAGAGGGGAGATGCGCGGCGCACGCTGTCTAGATCTTCAAAGCGGCTTGTGATCCCATAGAGGTAGTAGTCCGTCCGCTCCAGAAACCTTTTCACCAGACGGTCTGCATCATTCCGCTGAAGGGTTCCTTCTGTGATGAGGTCTTGAGGCTCTTGTGCGCCTGGTTGAGCTGTCATAGGCGCCGAAGAAACAGCTCCATTCGCATTGGCAGACCTCAATCTCGTGATTTCATGCAAGGAGCTGATGGGCGCTTGACTCAATGGCTCGACAAGGTCTTCACTCTGTGCACATAGTGAATTGGTTTGCTCTTCCATGTCTTGATCCTCATCTTCGATGAAGGTGCCAGTCTCATCCGCATGCAAGCCCTCAACATTCAGCCTTCCTGCAAGTGAACTTTTCAGAGGCCCTAGCAACGGCAGAGATCCTTGTTGCAGAAGGCCATTAATCGCTGTGTGCAGCATGCGCATATCATCCACCATATCCGACCTTCACAATGCATTATGTATTAGCGGTGCAACTCATCAGACATGAGGCGGGCAGTCGAACCGATTGGGGCTTGCATCATTAGACCTCAGCTCGACCTCTCGAGCTGGCCGTTTGAAGACGCACTCAATATTTTTCTTCCTACAATGCTGGCAAGGCCCATCTCGGCCGTTCGGTAAGCATCGCACCTTCAAAGGGATGTCAGCGACGCGCTAGTTGAGATGTCACGCATGCCAAATGGTCGGGGGGCCCGCACGTGCCTTTTGCTTTTGACAAGAGGAGCAGGCCTTCATTCGGGAGCTGTACGCGGCCCGGTGCAGTCTCTCCGGCTTTTTGCTGCGAGTTTCCATTGTGAATGGAATGCTGTGCTGTCTCAGAGAACATGAATCGGGGAGAAAATGTCAGAGGCGCGGAGTTGACCGCGACGCTGAGACCCCGTTATGCCGTTATGCCAGATATCCCTATAAGAATACTTCCCTAAATGGCCTAGCAATGTGTCTGAGTGACCTCCTCCCTTTTTGCTCTCCCTGTCTACATGATGCCCTCTAAGAAATGACACCATGTTCACCAGAGCACTAGACATGAGCTCTACCATAGATAATGGAGATTAAAATGGTATCTGGTGCCTTTCCCGTT